AAAAACAAATATTTCTCGATATTGCATGTTTCTTTAACAAAAGGAACAGAGCAAATGCTTTTTATATGTGGGATGACTGTAAATTTTATCCAGAGTATGGTATAGAAGTCCTTCTCCTAATGTCTTTAGTTAAAATTGGAGACAATGATGAGCTATCCATGCACGATCAACTTAGAGACCTTGGTAGGGAGATTGTTCGCCGTGAGAATCGCAAAGATCCTGGAAGGCGTAGTAGGTTGTGGATTGACAAGGAAGCACTAGATGTGCTGAAAAGTAAGAAGGTAAAATTTTAACTTTATCACCAATTCTGATTGCTGAAAAAGCTACTTGTAATCCTTCCTTAACCATGATTTCTTTTGATCACGAGACATGCTCCATGTCCACAGGGGACAGAAGCTGTTGAAGCACTTGTTTTGAACTATTATACTCACGGTTCTGATACTGCCTTAAAGAACCAGAACTTTACTTGTGAAGAATTTTCAAGCCTCTCACATCTAAGATTCCTCCAAATGCATAGCGCAAACTTTGTTGGAGACTTTGAGCATCATTTCTCAAACCTAAGATGGCTTTCTTGGAAAAATTGTCCACCAGATTTTGTAGCTACTAATTTTCATCCTACAAATCTAGTGGTTCTTGACCTGTCATGGAGCAAAATAACACACAAATGGAAAGGCTGGAAGCAGATTGAGGTAACTTAAGTTCAGGAGTAGAATATTTTTGTTATGTTTCTGCATCTCTCTGCCTTCATCCATTTTAATAAAATTTCTATCCAGATGGCTAAGAAACTGAAAGTTCTGAATCTTTCCCACTGCAACAAGTTGACCAAAACTCCAGACTTATCAGCTTATGGAAGCCTGCAAAGATTGATTCTCCAAGGGTGTTTGCGTTTGTTTCATATTGATCCATCAATTATTCACTTGAAGTGCCTCACTCATTTGAATATCCAAGGATGTTATTGTTTGAAACACAACTCCTGGCATAACCTAAGTTTCCAGGAGGATCTTGAAGAGTTCATCAGGAATGTACCTTCTCAGAAAGATGATCCTATGTCACAAAGTACGGAGAAGCTAGATACTTTAAAAGCTACCCATTGGAATTCAAGAGTATCAACGGTCTCACAAATGCATCACAAGATCAACCCGAGAGAGTACACATCAAAGTGGGCTCTCCGTCAACTGTCAACTAATTCCACATACCCAAGTACGTATTAGAATGAAACACAAATTTTAGAGTTTTATATGACGAAGAAAAACAGCTACGGGATTAAGATAAACATGTTCTGATTGTTTACTAGGCATATATTAACCTCTGAAAGTTTACTGCAGGCACAGGAATGACTCAGTCTAGAGATTTGACAGGAGTGGAAGCGGAGCGCGAAGATTTGTCTTCAAACCAACTAGAGTGGGTGGAGAGACTACCAGAATCAGTGGGGTATTTGCAATCACTGGTTGAGCTGGATTTATCAAGCACAGGAATTACTGAATTACCTGATTCGATAGGTAATCTGAAGAATTTGAAAGTGCTGAGAATTGATGGAAGTTGCATAAGAAAGTTACCTGATGCTATAGGAATGGCAAAGAAACTCGAGGAACTACATGCCTTAAAGAGTGAGAGCTTAGAGGAAATTCCTAGTAATTTTGTGTGCCTTCCCTCTTTGAGAATCTTGAGATTATCAAGAACTGCCATAACGAGAATACCAAAACTTCCAGCAAGCCTAACCAGTCTACAAATCGAATCACGATCAACAAGCACTATTCCTGATCTCTCGAACCTCATCAACTTAAGAGACTTGGACTTGGATTTGAGTTCCTCTAGAGACCCATCTCACCTTCTACAAACTCCCGGCCCCAGTTGGATTGGGAACTTATCCAGATTGGAGCACTTAAAATTGTCCCTTTCAAATATCGTCTCTCTGCCTCCATCTTTAGGCTCACTTTCAGGTCTCAAGAAACTCGAGCTCCTGTCCTGTGTAAACCTCAAATCCCTGCCAATGCTTCCCACTAGTTTGACAGAGTTATCCATCCGAAATTGTGTTTCAATAAAAGCATTACCGAGAGTTTCAAATTTGGAAAACTTGTTAATATTTGCTCTTGCCGAGACACAGGTGACAGAGATTGAAGGACTTCGGGGCCTAGTATCACTCAAACATTTGGATATACAAAGGTGCAAAATAGAAAATCTCGATGGGCTCGAACAATTGCAAAATATATCCACACTGAAGGTTTCGACCTGTGAGTTCCTCCAGAGAATGCCTGATCTGTCAAACTTGCCGAAATTGAGGGAGTTGAGGCTACTTCATTGCACAAACATGTTTGAGATTCGAGGTCTGGAAGAATTAGAATGCTTGGAAGAGTTGTGGATTCAACATTGCATTTCCTTGCAAAGATTGCCAAACCTATCAAACTTGAAGAAGCTGAAAGTTTTGAATGTATCCAAATGTGAGAAGATTCACAGCATTCATGGAATAGAGGATTTGAATTCCCTGAAGGATCTAACTGTGTATGGATGTGAGGCAGAATCTTCGCCTAATGTGTGTCTTGCAAAAGAGAGAGTTCTTCAACAGCATTGGCAAGTCAGTGGGCTTTTTAAGAATCTGAGTTGGTAATAGCATGAACACCAAAGGGATCTCAGTTAATGAGGCTATTTGGCACCTTAAATGTACTTCTTTCTTGCCCTCGCCCTTTGTGAAAGTTGTAATTTTTAGCTTGAATTAATTGTTACAGCCTTGCGTGTAGTTTCCTAAAATAAATTAAATGCTAGACCTAGAAATTCAGGTTCTCATTTTGATAAATTTATAAAACTAACGTGGATAAGGAGTTTGCATGGCATAGGATGGGTTGGGTATCTCCCTGTGGATACCAGTTTCTCACATTTTGAACTCAAAACCACCTTGTCTCTTTTTAACCCAGAATGGACTGTGAGTCCATAAATTTTGGGTTACCGTGCTTTTTTTAAATAAAAAATCTATGTGAACAAGAAAATTTTTATATACCTAATAACTACTGACATATTCGACATACAAAGTAAATAACAGAGTAGAGTACATCTCATTTATCAATGACAACAAATCAGTAAAACACAATTCAAAACATGACACCAAGAGAATAAAGTAAAATTACTTGAACTCGATATCAAAGTTTCTCAAGTTCATTTCTTTTATCCTTAAGCTCGATTTAAGTCAAATTTGGTTCAAGTGTAGTACATGATGACAAACATAAAGATATTTGGTCATAGGTATAAAATGCTGAATGCTCTTAACATTCGCAACATTGTTTCACTCCTAAGGGTTTTCTATGCTTCTTTACCAGATCTTATAAAATCAAACTTGTTTAGTGAGATGTACACATTTAAGAAAATAAGTCAGATGACTAACATCAAAATCAGAACTCGAGTGGCTAATATCTAAAATCAGAACTTGACAAGGATTAGGATAAAATGAGGAATTAGATTTCGTGTGCTGTTTCACAGGATCCGAAATTTTTTTGCTTAAAACTACCACTTGCTAAACAGTACTTAACAATTAAACATGATAATCACACAACCATCAATTTTGCGTCCAAACGATGAACCATGGAATAAACCATGAGGCTTAATTTGAGTGAAACAACAGCCATAGCATCAACAGTGTCTTGTGTTTCATGTGTTCTTCTCCACGTTTCACATATGCTAAGCAAATAGAGTTCGAAAAATTTGACATCAAGAAGAACATCTGAGTCCGGTTTCAGAGAGCTGTTTTGGTTTTCACTCCTTTCCACTAACACTTTATTGTTTTCATTTCGCATTTCCGTCAAAACATGTTTAAAACTGTTCATGAAGATTTTTCAGGAACGAGAAGTTGTGAAGATATGCTTCTATCGACATCAAGTTAAAATAGAGGCTATTCTTTTGATATTTAACCTGTCCATGTTCTCGTTTGAAATGAAGCACTGAAATACAAATAAGATTTGCTCAATTTTAAATCATTTTTGGAGACATTTTTCCTTGATTTCACTTGGAAACTATTTGTTGTCAAACATATTTTCAAAGCCATTTTCATTCTCGATGTAAATTAAATAGAACATTTATGAGAATACGCAGGAACCAAACAGGTTTAAGACATTGGTTGGTGAATTCTCACACGTCATTGACGAAGATGTTAATCTTCAAGTACCTTAAATCCCCTATGAATGACGTCGGGTACGACAGGCAAGACAATAATTTGATTGAAATCAAGCTCAAGATTTTAGAAAAGATACTAATGAGCTAAAGAGTTGGGGGTCAAGGTGCTCAACTTCAAACTTCGAAGACTGATTATCCTATGTTCCATTCAATATAGTTTGATGGTAAAATAAAAGGAGATTTGACGGAGTTTTACTTTACATACTCAGCCATTAAAGACATTAGCATTTTAAATTTGATTTTAGCTTTGAAATTTGAATTGTGCTTTTACAGTTTTCTCAATGTAAACAAAAGGAAGAGCTACTAATATGTTGTCTGTCTATAAAAGGTGATACACGGACAAAGTAAAGGGCACCCCACCACAAGTTAAGGGGCACACCAGAACAAGCCACAATTGTAGAGTAGACCTACCATGAAACGCCACTCACTGTAAAAATTTCACACGACATATACAATGCCACAAGCAATGCCTCCATATAATCCCAGTAAATATACTTACCAGGAAATGCCTTCTGGTTTCCTGATGGAGTGGATGACTTCTCTTCTTCTGTCTCCAAGACTCCAACACAGGATCACATATGCTGATAGACAGGAGAGAATCTTGTGCCATTGTACCCACAAGATGCCAACTGTAGAAAGTCACTCAAAAAAACATCTCCATGGTTGGCACACTCCCAGCCAAATCAAATTAAAACGATGTACCTAAGTGAAATTTGCGGAACATGGACCAGAAATATTACTGCCCCGTCCCAGCATGTCTCTTTGAAACATTGGTTTCTTTTTTTTTCAAAGTGAGCAATTGAGTAGTCAATTTCGTTACTGAACAGAGGACTGAACTGGTCTAACGCTGAATTATACGAGTATGATCTTTTCTATGTAAACAGTGAAGGAGAACGAGACCTTGCGTTAGTCTGTTTATGAAGTATTTCTAGCAGGCAGTATTAATCCACAACATTAATCCATACGAGCAAGGCCAGCTAAGTGAGTAATCACATCCTCGAGGCAAGAAAAATTAACTAAAAACTTATCATGAAGTTCTGAGGGGCAAGCCTCAGCCTTCTCCCACAAGGAAAGACCATCAGAAATGGCCTTCAAACCACTCTGCAGCAATTCAACACCCTTGCTGATCTCATCAGGAACCTTCCTCTTCTTGTTGGATCTATTTTCACAAATCGATTCTGCTCTTTCATGCCTAATAGCTTCCACGTCAATATTTTGACTCTTTTGAGTTGTGACCTGAAGGATCAAAGCCTCTTTTCTCAGCATCTGAAGCTGCTCAGTGCAGGGAAAAGTTTTAAGAAGGGCAACTTCTTTCTCGAGAAATTTCTTGAATTCAGACATAAATCTTTCCTCATTTGCCTCATTTCCTTGCGATAAATCGTATGATAGAGCAGCATTTTGTGGCACAAATCTCCAAAGCTGATTGCAGGAGGTTCTTGCAGCAAAATGTCCAAATGCTTTAATTGCCAAATGTGTGAGAGCCCAGTGCTGTTCTCTTAGTAACATATGATACAGCTCCCAAATAGCAGTGCTCTTTGGACATTCATCTCTTTCTTCTATTTCTATATGACCAAGTCCTGCCATGAAAAGAGCCAAATCAACTTTGCACTGGTACAGCTTGGCATCAGCTGCCAATGGCCTTGTGATAAACAGGTTTTGCAGCTTCATGATGACTTCGTCCATGCCATTACATGCATATAGATGTGTCATGTTAGAAACTATCGCCAGTGTTTGACCCAAAAGCTTAAGGCAAATGTCACTTGCCACATTCTCTGGAGAACGGGTGCAGCTCTGCAGAATATCAGCTAGGAACTTTACTGTCTTCTCGTCAACGTCAGATTCGGCAACCTGGCTAGAGAATGTAAAAAGTTGATTCAGATTTCAATGATAATAACAATTGCTACTTAACCTGAATTCACTAGGTCAACAGGTGTTGTTAGAGTTCAGCGATCATGCAGTGCTGGAAACAAATTGACAAAATTTGTGTTTCACTGTAAAAGGGAAAAACCTCATGAAATGAACTGAAAAGAATCTTCTATTGAACAAAAAAGTAAATAAAGTAATACTAAGCAAACATTTATCGTTGAGCCCAGCAGAGGAAAATAGACAAACAGATTTGTCAGGAATTGAAGAATGAAACAGCCCTTCCTATCTGATAGAAAAGGATCAACCCCCATTGCATATTGGTACTTAATGGATACAGAACAGATCTGCTTCTCTTTGTTCCTACGAATGAGTCTCATTCATTTCATTATCCATTCCTTGCCCTTGGATGATCCACATCTCAGGGTCTGGCAAGGAAGGGCGTGAAATTCTTTTTCCTGTCTGCTGGAACCAGGGGATTAGATCTAGCCATAAGAAGAAGTCCTGGCTAACAAATAACTCCCGATGCCGCATTGGGTTTAGATAGCTCGGGGATAATAGCTCCTCTGCGAAACCTTGTGATTGAAGGAGTTAAATGGGCCAAGCAATAATGGCATATGGGCCTTTATGGGAAGAGACCCGTGAATAGTCGTGGGACCAAAAAAAATTGCAAATGCATGTAATGGATGCTACGGTTTTGTGCTACAATTATTTATTGCAAACTGCTTCGAACAATAAGAAAGTTTCCTATTATGATAGTTATTATTCAGTAAACATTGGCAATATAATTAATGCCTATTTTTCTTCTGATCGGAACTTCTCTTCCAAAATGCAAAGGGACTTACAGAGATGGCAAAGAAGCACACAACACAAAGAGTGGAGCCCCCAGCAGCCTAGAAGGGCAAGCGTTGAGGAGCATGCCGCTAAAACCTCCAATGAATTCATCATAATCACTGATTATCCTTTGTTTAGCGATTCCTCTCAAGTTGTCTGAAAGCAAATTTAGCGAAAAACCTTCCGCAAGCAAGGCTACATTCATGACTGATGAAGACAGAGATACACCACCACTAGTAACAAAGTTATAAACCCTGTCTGCCACAGATGTTGTACCACAAGAAACCAGCATATTTATTGATCTGGCCACTTTTCTCAGGGAAGAATCGTCAACAAAAACAGCTTCGACAGAAGCCAAAGATTTGAGACACGAGCAGAGTTTATCAATAACATCATTTACCACATCGGTTTCAGCATAGCGCATCATAAAGCACCACAGCTCCATTATAATCTCCCAACAAAGAAAGTGAGGATGGAAGAAGTTGTCAAGCAAGAAAGCCTCCACTTCTCCCCATGCCGTACTAGAGTAGGCCACAATCATGAAAGATTTGAGGGAATGTATAAGAGAAGCAAACACTGTCTCCCAGACCAACTCCGGGGTCTTCTTAGTACCATATAGTTGGGGTATCAACATTGAGAGGATGGAAGGATATACTTCTTCATGGACAAGTATGTCGAAAAGCCATCCAAGCTTTCTGGTTATCCCAAGTCGTACATCTCCTTCAATATCGCGAGAAGATCTCAAGAGACCAGCAAGTAACAGAATCCGGCCAAGCGAAGGTAGTCTTGTCCCAAACATAACCTTGGAGTTCGCTGAGAAGATTTTATCCACTGCCTTAGTGCAATTAACAGCATTTGAGTTCTCATCGATATAGGTCTCATCGCTGAACAAACAATCCAGAATTTCAAACTTCATCTCCTGGTTCACTTCATCAGAATTCAGCAAGGAGTTGAATAAATTCATGGATGTTTGATCCAAAAGTTCGGACAATACCTCACTAGCAATTTTTAGGTGCTCCTCATGGCACATTTGAATTTTCATATTTGCAATCATCAGGGCACAGTGTGTTAACTGCCTGTGAACACCATATGATTGTAACGGATACAGGGAGGCTATTTTCACAGCATTAACGAGGTAAAACTTTACAGGAACAAATGACCGTCTAGCTTCTGCTTGAGAAATAGATTCCTTCAGCAAAGACCAATTCTCAGCTGCACATCTCAGAGATTCATTGGCTAGTGAAATAAGAGTCAAAATAATATCTGCTACATTAAAATTGACTTCTAGTGCTGCTTTTCCTATCTGTAGAAGTGTGACAACACCTTTCCAAGTGACATTCAGAATGCTGACCAGAGTTCCACCACCACTAGCTGCAATAGTTCCCAATTCACACAGTTTTTCTACTGTATGTTTTGCCATGTTAGCAACATAATTTATGTCACCAGCCCCTTCTGTATCCATGGTACTCGGGTCTTTCTTAGATCTTTCTCGCAAATGGTTCCCAGATTGGCAATAATCTTCGCATAATTTTACAACCGAATTGATGACTGTATGTGCAACCTTCACTATTTCTGAGCTAACGGATTCGATTCTCTGCATCAAACATGAACTTAATTATTTTATCAAAAATGGCAAAATAAAGGCATCTGCTTCCCCTGTTCCATAGGAAAAGAATAAAGAGAAGAATTCCATGTTTTCAAAGTTTAACCTATCCGAGATTCTGGAAATGAGCCCCGGAAGTATCTAATCTACAGTTGTTGAATTAAGAATAGAAATAAAATATGAAAGAGATGATTGGAAGGCAATACTTAATGCCGTAAATAAGTACCTCAGTCCCCAACAATGAATCTTTTGTTAAATTCAGTTGTTCCAATAATGAACTCTCCAAAACGTTCATTAGTGTATTGTCTGTTAGCGAAGGATACTGCACCAAAGCAGTAAAGCTTGCACTGCAGAAAGTAAGTACATCTAGAAGCAGCTGCACTAGAGAGTTTCAGAATGTCAAAGATAGAGAAAAGCATTTGGCCAGAAGAAGAAGATACATGATAGCATCTGACAGTAATAGATGATACATATTTTTCCCCAATTTAATTTAAGGTCCTTTACCTAATCAGAGAATTATTAATGCAGAATATTTTCCTTTCTTCCTCCGTGCACAGGTTTCAGTTGCCAGAGCCATGCACAGTGTATTCAAGCTGGGATTTCCTACTATAAGTTTAAGATAGATTGGAACTGAAGTAAGATAGTCTAGTAAAAATAAATTCAGTCAAACTTTTAGCTTCATCTTGTACTTTGTCTAAGCTCCCAACACAGTCCCAAACAATTCAGTGCAATGGCGAGACAAGAGCCAGCCGCAATTTCCACTTACCCCTCTCTGCTTGCAATTCCCCAACTCCAGCCCTCCCCATCACCCATCCCCCAAAAACTTCCCACTCCTCACCCCCCAAAAATAGAGAAAGCTCTCTTCTACGCCTAGCAGTATTGCATTTTTGGTAAGGAAGATACTAAAGAGAATCAAGTAGCAACAAGAGATAAGTTACCCCATAGAACATCTTGCAATGTTCTTCTTCCTGTGATTCCTCCATTGACATAATCGTCATCTGTAGATGCTTTTTACACCAAATAATTGCCTGTCATGAAATTAACAACACCACTCACTATACAAAATTTCGAAGAAGTGTTTGCTCGTGTGCATTCACTCACACCATGCTAACTTGCAACAGCACGCAAGGCATTCTTCATTCCTAGGTGGGAGTTGGTATTAGGAGCATCATAAGAAAACAAAGCTACCTGGGCCCCAAGAGTAAGGAATGGTGTCAGGCCACCACATAAAGTAGGCTTGAGGAACTTTGTAGCAACCTGTACGATTGCTTTGTGTAATATGCACTGGGTAACATCCAAACAAGTGTAGTCCTCCCAAAATGTCCAGATTGTTGTCAAGGTAAAAATCGTGATTTCGCAAAGACAAGCATGAAAATATTCCCATCTGTTTTCTTAAAGAATTCCAGTGGATCAAATTAGTCATAATGATTAGAGAAAAAACAGCTTGCACATGCTTTATTCCTTCAGTCCTTCCATGTTCGAAGCACTTCTCAAGTTAAAGAAGGCAAAAAAGGCATTAAGATAGTATAAAGGAATTAGTCAGATGCACTGAAAGACTGACTAGTCCTTCGGAATAGCACGCGTATTAGGACCAAATAAATGTTAAAATATTCATCTGCAAATTCTTTAAGATTTTGTTTGGAAGATGGGGAGGAAAATATGGGGTGGGTGAGGAAAAATCACATTTTCCATCCAATCTCTCCTCAAAAAATATTTAAATTTTCTGAAATTTTCCACACCCACCTCTCATTTTCTCTCCCTCCCTTCTCTCCCAAACAAAGGAATGTTAAAATTATAAAGGAACATTTTGAGAGCCACAGCTAGAGCAATTAACAAAGAAATGTCAAAAATCCATTGTGCACATACTTCTCCGATCAACCCGGAAGCTTTACTTGAGCATGAATTAAAACTAGAGCAAAAGGCAAAGAAGCAGCAGGAAAATGCAATGAACAAAGGCGGAGCATGCTATTTATACCAAACTAAAATTTTACTAGAAGAATGCACTTGACTTGCCGACACAGAGGAACAGCATTCAGAGAGGGAGCTCCTCTGGATCTCAAATTCATCCCCGAGACACTCATCCAAAATGTGCCAAATAACACATCATATCAGACTCCCATAATTTGCAAAATTCAAGAACAGCACTGCACCCATTCATCGGGAACTTGCAACCAATCAATTCGCTCGAATAAAAAGACAAACGGTGATGCGCAGATAGTTTTAAACATAGACAATGAAGGATTCGATATTACAGCCGCTACTTCACATTGCATTCGATTCCAAATCCACTTAATTCTCTCAACATCATTAAGCAAAACGACCGAAAAGAAAAGAAAAGTAAAAGAAAAACACACTTGGTTCAAGAGGATACAACTAGGCTTTCGACAGCGAAAGCTATGTCAGATCTCTCGCGCAGTTCCAGTTCACCGAGCCCAGTAATAAGCTGAACCCGAGCCTCGACGACCTGCGAATGCATCGGCAAAAAACGAAATCACACACGAGAAAACAGTTTTCCAACCGCTACAAAAAAAACAAAATCCCATGCAGCTCTCCCCAAGGGATTCATCAAGCTCAAGCATTCCATTTCTCCCTCCAGTTCCCCGGCAACAATTCGAGAGAATCGCTAATGAAGGACAACTTCCGGATCGATCGAAGCGGTGTTCGAAACCGCTCCCGAACTCAAACCGCTCGATCGTAAACCCTGGCGTGCTCGCGACGCGCGACGCGACACGACAAGGCGCGCGAGACCTTCGAACTCGCCGAATCATCATCGAAACCGAACGAGACAGCAATCGGACGAGATCGACGAACGGAGTTCGGGACGGGGAGAGCTTACGTCGGAGGATCTGATGGCTTCGACGGCGCATAGCAGCTCCGCTCTCGAGCTCCCTCCCTCCATTCTCTCTCTCTCTCTCAATTTCAGTTCTGAGATATTTCATTTTCCCGCCATTAGGGAAGCACCTTCGCGCGGGTTGACCCGAACGGGTCACCTGTCCGGGTCGAGTCGGCAATCATTTCGCTAAAATATTATTCAGATAGTTCATTTTTTTACGAAACAAATATAGCAAAGGATTGATTTACAATTCCATGTATTTGCAAATTTGTCTTTTTTTTGTGAAAGAACAAATTAATTTTAATATACACACCATTGCTCTTGCTTTTTTTGATTCCCTCGCTTTTCTACTTTTGACTAATTCTTAGATTTTGTGGCACTTAACACAAAACACTTAAAAATCGATTAGAATATTCAAATATCCATAGTAGAATTGTATGTAATTTATTTATTACCTTTTAAAATTTAAATGTTTGTTATTTTTAGATTTTACACCATTGCCTGAACCGTTTTAGTGGTCAAAGGGACCGTGACCCGAGGCCATCGCGGCCCTCGCCTGGATTTGGGCGAGGAGTCACGGCCCTCGCTAGCCTCACCCAGATGCAACCCTCATCGGCCACAAGCGAGGGTCGTGGCCGCCCCTAGCAAAGAAAAGAAAAGTAAAACAAAAAAAAATCATAAAGTTCTAAATAAAATTTCAAAAATTCCAAAAGTCGTACAACATGTCATATCAGTAATTTGATGGTATCAATGATAAATTAACGGAGGCCTTCTAAGTAGGTCTAGAAAAAAATAGACATTGAAAATGATTTCGAAAGTTCATCGTAAAAGATAACATTATTCGATTCCTTTTCCATGAGAAATTAAATTATTCGACTATATAAAGCCCAAAAAAGGGCACCCTCAAAAGTTCACTTCACTCCGTATTCCAAATAGCCTTTTTGACTCGGCCACTGCCATCCCAACTAAGGTAGAAGCCATCCTCTTTCACCGACCAAAGCACCTTATTGTGGCCCGCATCCCAGCTGGGCTAGAAGGCGGGCCACGACCCGATCTTCCCCGTCCACGCAGCTGAGCAGCTGTACAGCGTCTTCTCCTCGGTGGTCCAACTGCAGTGCTGGCCCGCGCTCAGCGCCTAATCGATCACTACCAAGTCCTCCGAGTTGCAATGGATGTGCACCGCGTCCATGTTGCTAGGTAATTCGCTCGTCACATGAACAACGGGCTCGCCCTGCACTTTGGTCTCGGCGATGATCGATGCCAACTAGAGGGAAAGGAAGAGGACGAGGGACAAAGTGGTCGACACCGTCACCGCCGCCGCCATGTTTGTTGTGGTCTGTCTCGAGTTAATTTGGTCCGGTCTCTCTGGTTTATAAGGCGCTCTGAAAGAGTTAAAACGCAAAAGTGAAGATTTCTAAGGCATCATGTCGCCGCGATTTTGGGGTGACCAAAGGATTTGTTTCTCTGGCCTTTGATGTTGCATTATTTGGTTGATTTGTTTCCAGGTTCACCCATTCTTATCCTTAGTGAGCGATGTGGCAATACTAACCAAATTGGCCATATCTTTTGGTAATGAGTCTCGACGCACCTAGCATTGCCTACATATTTATATGTCGGGAACTGTGTGTGTCAAGTCGTTGAGCGTGTTGATACTCGGATGGTGAACACCAATAAATCCACTTGCGAAGAGGTGTGCGGGTTCCGGGGTAAGTAGTGTATTTACCTTATTCTGGGACTTCTTTATAGGTACGGGTTTTGAAATTTTGAAACACGAAACCTTTCCTACGGGCTCTTAGAACATAAAACCTAGAACCATCGTTTTCATAGATTCCAAGATACCCTATACCGTCCCGACATTTCTTTCAATGGCGCAGCTCTAGTTATTAACGCATTAAACATTCAACACTAAACACAAATGGATTACATGATAAAGTACACGTTCATGTCTAATAGTAATAAAATGGGAAAATGATACAAACAGTCCTTGAATTTTAGCCCAATGTGAAATTTGATCAAAGAAATTTTAATTTGTTCAATTTAGTCCATGAACTTTAGCATAATGTTCAATGTGGTCTCTAAACTTTTAATTTGTTCAATGTGATCCCTGAACTTTTGATAGATGCTCAATTTAATCCCTGAACCATATGAAAATATTCAATGTAGTCCTTCCATTAATTCAAGTTAAGGGACTAAATTGAATATCTACCAAAAATCCAGGGACCACATTGAATAAATTAAAAGTTCTTGGACCACATTGAACATTAGGCTAGAGTTTAGGAACTACATTAAACAAATTAAAAGTTAAGGGATCAAATTGCAAATTGGGTCAAAGTTTAGGGACTATTTGTGTCATTATCCCTAATAAAATCCCAATACTATAGTAACATCCAAGGTAAAAAGAAAAGAAATAAATCAGCCTTTACCCATCATTTATATCCTTATGGTGATTTTCTCGCCAAATAATAAAGGCAAACTAATGAATAAGGTATAAAAGATGATTCATGTAATGGGAAGCCCTCCACATAAGAACTTTAACTTCGATTAGAACTACATCTCTCTCTTTTTTAATGTGCAAATGACTCTTTTCACTTTTCGTAAAGTTAGAAAGTCACATTATACCCATCTTATGATATTTTGATTTCACCTTATCTAAATACAAACACTTTCGATATTTCGTCATGAACTGTTCAATAGATTTTTGTGATCATATAGAGTATATTTTATGCTAGTGTATTACTCATCAACGTTTATAATTGAGCTCTGTATGATTTAGATGCAATGCAATAATATGATTGGTCATAAGTTATTTTGCACTTTAGCACTATCTACATGAAGAGTTTCGTGGACAATAATTTACAGTTTACACGGCTTAAACAATGAAAGAGGACTTTTTTTATAAATTGCTTTTCATAAATGGGAAGATAGTTTTATTTTGGGTTACTACCACAAAAACCCCAAATCAGTAAATCTGTAACAAATTTATCTCAGACTAATTTTTGACCACTAAATACCCAGACTAGTACGCCTGTGATAAAATTACCCTCTGTTAGTTTTTGTTAAATTTTACCGTTAAATTGTTGAATTGGATGACATGTATCAATTGACAGGTGTACTAGTTTGGGGTTTTACCCTATGTTGTTACATGTATATTAGTTTGTGATTTTTTGTGGTATTAATCCAACTTAACGGAAACTACCGGATGGTAAATTTGTCACAAATGTACTGATTTGGAGTTTTTCGTGACTTTAATCCTTTTATTACTAATTCGGTACATCAAGATTATCAAGATGAAAAAAGATTACAAGTAGCAATTTTGTCCGGTTGCCGAATGAACACTTTCTTTTGATCAAAATAAAATGTAAAAGACACTAGAAGGATTTGGTATTGTTTAGATAGATGATTCGATTTTTTATAACAACAGTGTCATTGGACTTTATTTATGTGCGTAATGCATGCACGGGGTAATTTCTAGTTACATAAATTCCGTGAACGTCTTTGGTTATCGTGACTCATGAAAAACAAGACAAACAGTTATGTTACTCTAAATTTGGCCAATTTAAATAATTATTTTAAATTTGTCTCATCATTTAGTATACCATCTTTGGTTATTTTGCACTAAAAAATTCATTTTAAGTTATTTCTCACTAAAAATGATTTCAAAAGTTCATCGTAAGATAGGGTTAAATCATGAAAAACCCCAAATTGATATACCTGTGACCATTTTATCCCAAAATTTTTTTTACCACAAAAAACCCCAAACTGGTACACCCGTGACAATTTTACCCCGAATTATTTTTTTGAACACCAAAAACCCTACACTGGTAGACCTGTAACAATTTTACCCGGAACTAATTTTTTGATCACAAAAAACCCCAAACTGGTACACCTGTGACAAATTTACCCTCCATTGATTTCCGTTAAATTTTACTGTCAAATTGCTAAATTTGATAACACGTGGTAGTTGACAGATGTACCAGTTTGGGGTTTTACCCCTCCGTTTGTCATAAGTTTACCAATTTGTGATTTTTCGTGATATTAATCCAATTTAACGGATACTAACAGAGGGTAAATTTGTCACAAATGTACCAGTTTGGGGTTTTAAGTGGTCAAAAAATTAGTTTGGGGTAAAATTGTCACAGATGTACCAATTTCGGGTTTTTGGTGGTCAAAAAATTAGTTCGGGGTAAAATTATCACAAGTGTACCAGTGTGAGGTTTTTAGTGGTAAAAAAAAATAGTTCGAGGTAAATTTGTTACAGGTGTATCAATTCGGGATTTTTTGTGGTCAAAAAATTAGTTCGGAGTAAAATTATTACAGGTGTACTAGTTTTAGATTTTTTGTGGTTAAAAAATTAGTTCGGGGTAAAATTATTACAAGTGTACCAATGTGGGGTTTTTGGTGGTCAAAAAAATAGTTCGGGGTAAATTTGTCACAGGTGTATCAATTTAGGGTTTTTTGTGATAAAAAAATTAGTTCGGGGTAAAATTATTACATGTGTACCAATTTGAGATTTTTCGTGGTATTAATCCTAAAAATAACATTATTCGATTCCTTTTCCATGAGAAATTAAATTATACAACTATATAAAGCCCAAAAAAAGGCACCCTCAAAAGTTCACTTCACTCCGTATTCCAAATGGCCTTCTTGACCCAGCCACTGCCATCCCAGCTAAGGTAGAAGCCATCCTCTTTCACCAACCAAAGCACCTGAACGTGGCCCGCGTCCCGGCTGGGCTCGAAGGCGGACCACGACCCGATCTTCCCCGTCCATGCGGCCGCGCAGCTGTACAACGTCTTCTCCTTAGCGGTCCAGCTGCAGTTCTGGCCCGTGCTCAGCGCCTGATCGATCACGACTGAGTCCTTCAAGATGCAATGGATGTGCATCGTGTTTGTGTTGCTGGGTAATTCGCTCGTCACATGAACAACGGGCTCGACCTGCGCTTCGGTTTCGGAGATAATCGATGCCGATAGGAGGGAAAGGAAAAGGACGAGGCACAAAGTGGTCGTCGTCACCTCCGCCGCCGCCGCCATGTTTGTTGTGGTCTGTCTCGAGTTAATTTGGTTCGGTCTCGCTTGG